TATGCGGATTATCATAATTCGTATATCAACATACTACATATATTCAATCTTGCCACATAAAAACATGTTTATCCTGCAGAACTAAGGTGCTGGATGTAATTCCGTCCAAGTTCATGTGGATACATGAATTAGTTAATACGTTTTCCATGCCATATAAGAAAATACTTATATATTTCTGGTTTACATTCCTCTGATTTAATTACAGTAATTGTCCCTAGCTTTATTAAATAAAACGGGGAGGAATGTAGTGAAATTGTGTATGTAAATGTATTCCCTGTGACCTTTCACCCTGACCTCATAGCCATCCACCCGTGCTGGCCAGCATGCTTCCCTTCGTCAGTCCGGTCCAGTCCTCAAACCAGTCACCACGTGTGTGTGTTACCTGTTCTTTGACTTGTTTGTTGTACTTGTACCGTATTCACCATGTAGAATTTGTTCATTGGTCGTCACCTTAGTTGTATACTTACTTTAAGGTAGGCGACATTCTTACATAGTAAAATATGTTTATATTTTACTACATACCTTGGGTTTTTTAAAATCTATTTTTGGAACAATATTAAACAAAAACACGTTCAGATTCTGTCTGAATTCACAGTTGATAAAAAAAATCCATGTAGGCCTAGTTCTGGAAAAAATATTTAATTTTACGAATCAATGGTGAGAACTCATTACATTGGAAGCTTTTTCTCCTTAATTGTGTCTTTTTTCAAAATGTACAGATGTGTGTGACAGATTGAAGTATAACGTTAGGCCTATATAAATGTGAGGGAGAAAACAACATTGGAACCATTAATTGGTGATTTTTACCAAAAATTAAGTATTCATGAAAAAACTTTGAAGTACTACTAATTGGCAAAATGATATATGCTCAGAAAAGAAAGCCTCCCATACGGAAAAAAAGGGCAAACAAACTACTATAACAAACTACTAACAAACCACTATGGTTTGAAAGTAGTTAAATAGTATAGCAAATCACATGCAAATGAGCTAACAAACTATACTCTAACAAACTACTATCAAACCACACTTAACAAACTACTATCAAACCACTCTAACAAACTACTATCAAACCACTCTAACAAACTACTATCAAACCACTCTTAACAAACTACTATCAAACCACTCTAACAAACTACTATCAAACCACTCTAACAAACTACTAACAAATCACTGGGAACAAATCCATCACCAAAACACTGTAGATTTGAATTTTCCTTTACAAATCCACAAGTCTTAATTGAAAACACCTAAAACAATCACATTTTGAAATATTCAACAAGTCTTGTTTCAGGGTATTTAAATTCCAGGTTTCACAAGTTTAGCCAATGCAAGTGCAACATCCAACATGTTTCCTTTTGTTTAGGAGATGCAATTCCAAGTCAATGTCCATGTACTTATCACATATTCTCTTTCATGCTGTGTACATCTTCATAGTATTTTTCACCAAAAAATGTTCTTCAAGCTGATGATCGCCATTTAAATATTTCCCTGCTTCCTCCAGCATGGAAAAAGCTGCAATTTTTCCTTGTTTCTAACCTCATCGCAACTTTGAAAGACATCTTTATTGTCTTATTTTCAAGTATACTTCCCATAACCCAATGCATAACTGATCTAAACTAGGATAGAAATTATAGGTCAATCTGAAAATGAATAAAAACCCAAAGCTAGTAAAAAGCATATGCATCCACATTCACAGAAGGTTGATTACTTCATGACATGCATTAAATACCTCTTCTGTATCCAGATCCATCTTTAAATAATGTTAATTGCTGCTTTTTCCAGTCAGGGATCATATAGAATGATACTATAACAATTTGAATGTCCCTTCACCAGTTCCTTTGTTTCTGACCTGCTTGGTGGTTTGAAAATTGGCGCAAATAGCTATAACACCGGATGTAAAGAGATAAGCTGTTCTTGGAAACTTCAACAATTCTAGATAATTCAACCCTAAAGACATCTGTAAAGTAATTTCCCATGTGGTTAGATGCAAATGCTTTACTAATAAAACACTGTTGCAAGATACCAAGTCTAACAAACTATAAAGAAATCACAATCACCAGAAATGAAAGACTAACAAACCACTGCAGCTATTTTTAGAAAAAGTGGTTTGTTAGTGGTTCATTAAATGCTATACTATCAATCTACTTTAACAAACCACAAAAGTATAGTTTGTTGGTAGTTTGTTGATGGTTTGATAGTAGTTTGTTAAAAATCTTTTCCGTTTGGGAGCTGCCCCCTTGTCTTACACTACATATATATGTTAGACTTAATTAATTGCCACTGTTCAGTTTTTTTTCATCACCCTTTATTTTAAATATATATATAAATACATTTTTCACCACATGCAGCATTAATCAGAAATTTTAAATGAAAATAATTTAAACATATGGAAGTAAACCATAATAGCTTGCATTCATTTTACTTAATTTTTCATTATTATGTTCCCCAAACGGAGTTTGGGAACATATTGTTTTTACTCGGTTTCTTATTAAGGTCTTCCGTTTCCAACGGAAGACCTTTCTGTTATTCTTAGGTTTCTTTTCCACAGTTTTTTTCTTTTTTTTCTTACCGATTTTGTGCACGCGAGTTCTCGGAAACGGCTCGCTCGATTTTCATGAAACTTTCAGGGCTGATGGAACATTTGAAAATCTAGAAATAATTTTTTTTGTTTTGATGACGTCACTTCCGGTTCCGAGATTTTTGCATTTTAGTGAATTTTAGAGGGTTAGTTTGTTCGCGGGTTTTCTCAAAAACGGCTTAAGATAGAAACTTGAGATTTTCAGTGATAATAGAGCAATAAATGTAGTTGTGCGGAACGTATTTCATATTCACTGAAATTGATGTGTACGGAAGCTTGTTATGGCCAAAAAATAGTCCTATCGCGAATTTCAAAAATTTTGACACCTTTTCAACGATAACGTTTTACCTAGAAATATTTTGTTAAAACATGTAGAACAAAAGAAGTGTAGAATTTAAAGATCTTTCAAATGATATCTCAAAAAAGGGCTGGCCCCTAAATTTAAGGGCCTGGAAGGGCCAAAAGCTTTCCCTTCATATCTCAAAAAGTAATGAGAATTTGTAATACGTCAAAGAAGCAAAGTTGTTCAAAATTTCAAGCTTAATCTACTGAAGTCGTCAAAATACGTCCAATGTCGTCACTTCCGGCCAAACCGGAAGTAGTCGAAAAACACGTATTTTTGACGTTCTTGACAAGTTTTTGGGTAAATTATGACTCTGGGATCTTAAAAATTAATTTTCCGTCCGTCGTCGTTACTTCGGTCAAACCGGAAGTAGTAAAAATAACTTATTTTTGCATTAATTAACTTAGCTTTAGAGGATTCAAAGCATTTTTGGGTGTTAATTCTCATTTTTGTTAAAAATGAAAGCTACTTCCGGTAAAACAGGACGGAAGACCTACTCGTTGCTTTGCAACGAGCTTTGCTCTAGTTATTATTATTATTATTCTTTTTTTTCTTCTTTGTTCTCCGGTACTTTTTTGTCCGCGAGTGTTCTCAGAAACTGTTCACCCAACTAAGTTAAAACCTTTTTAGGGTTAATAGGTGTGTAGTGTAGGTGTGCGGAACGAAGGTCATTTTGCGCGCATTCGCATGCACGTGCGTGCGCGTGAAGTGAGTGAATTGACTGATATACTTAATATGGCCATAACATTTACATTTTTTGATGAAATGCTTTGAAACTCAATATATAAGGATATATTAATAGTGTTAATAATATGACACTGTCAAATAAGCACGAACTCACGCGCATGCACGTGCGCCTTGCTCTGATTGCCTGAAACAAAAATCTCAATTTCTCTTTTGTTTTTAGACGAAATGCTTTGAAATTTTAAACGTTGTCATGAATTAAGACATCCTACGATATAGTAAGGAAAAAATTATATGAAATCACGCGCATGCAGGTGCGCTGCAATCTGATTGGCTGAAACTTTAAATGGCTATATCTCCTTTGTTTTTTGACGAAATGCTTTGGAATTTAAAACATAGTCTTGCATTTGGATATCCTGCAATATGATATACAAAAAATTTCAACAAATCACGTGCATGCACGTGTGCTGCAACCCGATTGGCTGAAACTTTAAATGGCTATATCTCGTTTGTTTTTTGACGAAATGCTTTGAAATTTAAAAAATATTCATGCATTGGGATATCCTACAATATGATTTAGAAAAAAATCATGAAATCACGTGCATGCACGTGTGCTGCAATCTGATTGGCCGAAACTTGAAATGGCTATAATTCCCTTGGTTTTCAACCAAACAGGATGGGATTTAGAATATAGATAGATATAAGGGCCTCCTACAAGAAGGTATGGTCATCATGCACGTGCACGCACGTGCGTGCATTTGGAACGAGTGAAATTAAAAATACACTTGAATGAGTGATTTTAAATACTTTTGGACTAAATGGTTTAATATATAGTATATTTAAATATATAGAAAATTGTAGACAAGGTGATATGATCATTGCGCACGTGCATTCACATGCGCACGCCTGCAATGTTCAAATTTGAATATAATTGGAATCCCTCTGGGAAAACGTTTTTAAAGGCAAAAATGCACAGATGTTCTCTAAATGGAATATGGCACCAAAAGGGAGTTGGGGAGCGTTTGGGGAACATCTGTAACGGTTCCCGTTACAATTAGCACTAGTTTTATATGTTTTCATTTACATGCACTTTTTGTGCTTTAACTTGATAGCCTGGAGTGGATGAATGTCTAGTTCATAGGAAGTTAATTATTAAAAATATAAAAATACTGCATACCACTGCATACATGTAAATTATTAAAAAAAGCTAGTTCATAGGAAGTTAATTATTAAAAATATAAAAATACTGCATACCACTGCATACATGTAGTTCTTCTTCTTTTTTTTCATAGGAAGTTAATTATTTAAAAAAGCTAGTTCATAGGAAGTTAATTATTAAATATATAAAAATACTGCATACCACTGCATACATGTAGTTCTTCTTCTTTTTTTTAGACAATTTGATAGCAAGAGAAGGGATACACAAGGGGTGAAGAAGTATTACAACATCAAATCAAGAAGTAAGAATTTCATAATAAATACATATATAGTGACTTTTAATTCTGTGTATTGACACTGGTAAATATATTTAAATGTTTTGAATTCTGAAAATTATTCAGAGAAATATTTTTGTTTACATTTTTTAAAAAATTTATTTTGTTAATTTTCTATGATTCAGTTTTATCGGGTAAACTTGATGAAAATTAGTACAATACTGGAGTAAGGTTTCAATAATGAAAAAAAAAGAATGTGAAAGATAAGTTAGTCTACAGTGAGTTTTATGCACAATGATTTCTTAGGAAAGAAAATATGACTAAGTTAAGTTTCATGCCTGCCAGAGCCTCGTATTCACAGATACTGGCCTATATCTACAATGAAAACCAACAAACATACAGATGTTGTTTTTTTTATTAAACAGGCAAAGAGAAATTAGATGGAATGAAGAGACCCAAAACTGGTGGAGGTCCACCACCCCCACCATTTACTCCTGGAGAGGAGACATTTCTTCAGCTCTCTATTGGTGAACCACATTTGGAAGGCCTGGAGGGAGGGATAGACACAGATGGTAAGAAAAAAAAATTAGCATTGAATCATTATTTTTGCAAGATATATTAAATTACTATAGTCTCATAACTACAACGATGTGTGTGCAAACAAATTGAAGAACACACATTAGCTTTTACTTTGACCCATTTCACACACAGGGAAACCTAAAAAACAAATTCATTTATTATTGAATGTATAGTATTATAAGTACTACAGTGGAGTCTCATTTATCCAGATGCTTTGGTTCCTAGTCCATTTGTCTGGATATGTGAAGCATCCGGATTCCTGAATCACCAGGTAAACAGGACAAAATAACATTTAAAAATTCTGTCCTGATGAAAATTGTCTGGATACTGAAGCATCCGGATATATGGTGTTCGGATATCTGAAGGTCAACTGTATATTCAACTGTTTACTTTAATTGCCAAAGCTTTAGCTTTGGACACTCATTATAAGGATTGATGCCCTATAAGATTTTTAATTTGTTTGTTTCTTCAATTATGGCAAGTTTTTTTTTTTTAATCAGGAATTTTGTTTTCCAGCTCCAACAACCAGTTCCATCACAGTCCAACTCCCTGAAAATCCCAATAAGGAAAATGTGGAAAGAAATGCACAAGGTATTGATTTGTCCTTAATAACGCAAATTATAATACATGTATATGGAGTGTAAAATTAGGACAAAAAAATTATTTTACTAGACAATGCAAAATGATGTTGATTATTTGTTCAGTGTCTGTTTATTTTTGAAATTCCTCATTATTAATGAAAAGAAAAAAAATTGATTAACAAAATCCTCGTATAAAGTTCAAGATAAATTAAAAATTCTAAAAATAAAAGAACTTTTGAGACACATTTGATGAATAATTTGCAGATTTAGATTCTTTGTTTAACACCCAAACAAGGCAAGAAGCTGGCACATCATCTGTTAGCCACAATAGAAAAGAAAAGAAAGGTTTGTTTGCAAAATGTAGCCCTTCTCTCTCTCTCTTTTACAGTTTAATCCTGATCTTAACAAGACTGTAAACATGAGTACCGGTAGACAATACATACTATTTAATGAATATCAGACTTCTGGTTTTCACATATCAAGCTTAAGGCATTTCCACCATCACAATTTTAATGGTTAAAAGTAAGAAAAATGGGTTTATTTCCCAACAATATAGTTTAATTAACAAATAATAGCAAAAGAAATCATAGGTTGCCATATTTTTTAAAGATAGAAACCCAAAACAAATAGAAGTAGATTTCAGTATAAAAAAATCGAGCCAGACATCTTACATTTTAATTACTTTATAAATAATTTTGAATTGTGAATGTAAGGAAACTATTTTACATTAGAAGTACAATAAAGTAGTTACTGAAGAGAAAGATAGATGAAAGGAGTTATTGCCCTTTAAATTTTTTTTAAATATTGAAAAATTGATTGAATAAAAAACATGTATTCATTTTTTTTAACCGAACAATAATTTTCATTATACATCTATTGAAAACTATTCTCCTAAAAAAAAAAGATGTTTTTTTTCTACTGGGCATGATTTGAAATAATAACATTTTTAGCTAAACCTCTGACATCACACAAGGATGTAAATACATTAAATTGTGCAAATTCAAGTTAGCTTAGATCTTAATTTAACAAGGCCAAACAATGTGAATTATGTGAGTATTGTGGCTCATAGGGCTATTATATCCTAAAAACCTTTGAAAACATGTTGTATAATTCATTCATGAAAAATTAAGTTAATAAAATTAAATACATGAACGTTTCCTCTGACTTGGCTTTATTGTTTACTTCTCTGGATAATCTCGATTAAACTAGGGACATTTATTAATCTAAAGTTTGCATTATTATTTCTTTCAAAAAAATCCCTGTGTAATCGCTGCCCTCTTCAACACTCCATCATTGCGGACTTGTCCTGGTTCCATGATATGCTGCTGGATGCAGGCGGCAACATTAATGTTTGTCAAATTCTGCTGCACACAAATGTCCCCCCTGTCAATTCCCAGATTATGCAATATCACACAAGCTGTAATGAACTGTACTGCTTGGTCTGGGGATACCCTGAACCCGGTTTGGAGAGCTTGGAATCGCCTCTTCATGATGCCAAAGGTTTGCTCTATCAAGACACGGGTCTGACATAGGCTGGCATTATACCTCTCCTCAGATCGTGTCGCTGGTGCTAAGTAGGGCGTCATCAGATATCTTGTGAGGGGGTATCCAGAATCGCCGAGCAGAATCCCATCATGTAACCCTGAAAAGAGTATTAAAAGAGGCTATATAAATGCATGCTTAAGTCAAGCTAGAACATATGATTAATGGCTTTAATGCAATCCAGGAGAAGGATACATATATATACATATATGGAGAACATTCTACATTTACATTATATAATTTTAATAATTAGTACCATTTTCAAACTGTTGACAAAGATGCGAGTTTCTCCAAATTCTGGAATCATGACATGATCCAGGCCACCGGGCACAAAGTCAGGTCACCTTGAAAGTGGGATCACATACCATCTGAAAAAATAAATATGTTTATTATTAAAAAATATTATATTTTAATAATTATTTATAATTTTCATTTATCAGAGTTATATAACTATTAAGTATGGTCAAACCAACTTTTGTAACGTAAAAAATAATACATGTTTTGATAACAATAATATATATAATAATAATATATTTACTTAAAAAAAATCAGTATTAACAGACTATATGATATTTTTTTTAAATAATTTAATTTATTTACCTGAACATTGAGGCTATGGAATCCCTTCCTGTTTACATAGTCAGGTTCATTTACTGATGGGGCTTGAATTCTTATCTGGGTCCCGTCAATGCAGCCCACAACTTTGGGAAAACCTGTCCATGAAATATAAGACTTAGTATAATTGACTTTTAAAAAAGATATATAATTATATGGGGGCATTGAAAGAATGAAGGTAATATGCTTCACTTGTATGACTATAATACTGGGGGGAAAACCCAAAACATGTGTACTTTTTAACAACAGGCCGGGCACCTTAAATTCATTTAAAACTCTATAGGTATTCTAAAAATATTTATTTAAATTTTTTTTTCTTTTTTTTTTTTCTTGAATTATTTTCTGGCAAACAAAATTCAACAGTCATTTAAGTTTCTTTTTAAAAACACAGTAGTAATAAAAACATGAAGAGGATAAAATGCTGGAAATATGAAAAAAGTATTTTATATTATAAATAAATAAATAAATAAACAGTATATACACTGTTATCCTTCTTAAATGTGTTTCATGAGTTTTATGTTGTTTTTTTTTTTTTTTGTTTTGTTTTTTTTTTTTTGCACTAAGTATTGTCAATATACTATAGCTAATATTTCAAAACATTTTTATTGACAATATAACAAACAGAACAACTTTGCTTTGAAACTTTATGTTGGAACTTGGATCCACCACCTATTTACCCAATTGCACTAAATACAGTTGTGGCCCTTAGCGGAATTCTTCATAACTTCCGTACATGTCGGTGGGACTAAAGCATGCAGTTTGTTGCAAGGGATTTTTCATGAATTTACACAAATGTAAGATTTCTTTCCAGTGCATTTATTGAAATGATTGTTTGTTTTGAACAATCTTTCAGTCATGTTTATGTGGAGTATTTAAAAACTTGCACATATCTCGCTAAAAATATGCACTGACTATTTTGTTTACAAATGATTATAGGGCTTACCAGCAACTCTTCTGAAGCCTTCCTTGACTTTGGTAGCGAGTTCACCTGAAGGGAATTTAATCAGATTCATGAAAACTGTGATGATGGCCCTCGCTACTGCTTTCACAACCCTCCCAGTCGTGCATTCCGATACGTCCAGACTGTCCCCAATAAGTCTTAAGTGGGCTCCTGTGGCAACAAAACGTAGGAATAGCAGCACCTGGATCAACGGAGGAATAGGACGGTTCCTGGCAGTGTCTTTTTGAAGGTGATCATGGACGCCATTCACAATAAACAGGATGCTGGCTGGGGAAAAACGATATCTCTGGAAAATCTCTCCTTCCTCCAAAGACTCTAAGGGGTTACTGAGATCCCGAAATACCCTTGGGTGCCTCAAAACAGCTCGATTCAGCCTCCTACGACGTCGACGGAAGATAATGGCAGCCATTTTCAATGCTTGAGAATGGACTTAAGTTTGCTTTGTAGTAAACTCAAATATTTGAGAATAAAATAGATTTTGAGAATTTTTATTTTACTCAACTTTTTTATGACGGCCGTTGAGTCTGAGAATTTAGGATTTGAGAAAATTCTCAGACTTGAGAACATTCTCAGACTTAAGTATGGTTTATGACGGCGGACCCTGCTTTCCTTCGTGACAAAGAATCACGTGGGTTCTGTCTCATCCGTTTGACTCTCTACTGTTACATGTAATCTCTAAAAAATCCCAGGATGAAGGGTAGGGGAGTCAGCTTGATCACAAATCAGAAGCTGCTGAGTGTCGATGATCAATGTCAGATAAATTTCAAAATTCCCTATCATGCGCATCATTGCAAGTCTTTTTTTTTTTTTACCAAATAACCACTGGCTTCTAAATATATATTTCTGTAAACATGTAATTTATGACATCGGCGTCCGAAGCAAATTAAAAGGGGGAGGGTAGGGGTTGCTAAGTGTAAGAAGAAAAATTTAGGTCCCCCCCCCCCCCCCCCCCCCCCCCCCCCCCCCCCAAAAAAAAACTGACAAGCAAGATTGATGATTGATTGTATACTGTTTAACGTCCCTCTCCAGAATATTTCACTGATATGGAGACTTCACCATTGCCGGTGAAGGGCTGCAAATTTAGGCCTATGCTCGGCACTTACGGCCTTTGAGCAGGGAGGGATCTTTATCGTGCCACACCTGTTTATTGTAAAAAGTCGGAATTACCTGTACATTTCACTAGAAAAAAATGTATAATAGCTTTTAAATGAAAATGGTAAATGTTTATTATGATTTTCAGTCGGATTGTGTAATATTATATTATTTTAAAAGTAGTTCCCCATACTTATTTCCATCTGTGAGGTTCCGATACATACATTCGTTCATTCATTCATTCATTGAATCTAAATTTCCTCCATTTGGAGATTTGAGATGTAAAACAGCAATTAAAACATATATACGTAAACATGAAGAAAATGCAGTATATAAGTTAAGCAGTAAAGTGTGAATTCACAAGGTAGGCCTAATTATAATAGGACCTTTCTGTTGAAATAAAAAAAGTATTTTCTACGTATTTCTACTTAATTCTTCTTCTAAACACTTGAGAAAAGAAATTTTTTTAAAATAGTTTGGTTGAACAAATCTTAAACATTATAAACTATGTAAAGAAATAATTCAACAAATGCCAACTTTCATGCAAGCATTTGTCATGTTGTAAATTTTGAATTTACCGGGTGGCAGTAAATACAAAATTTACAACATGACTTGTCATGTTGTAAATTTTGTATTTACTGCCACCCGGTAAATTCAAAATTTACAACATGACACATTTTCAAAAAATCGTTTATTTTGATTGACGTTTGAAAATCAATATTTATATTCGTATTATGTGTCAAAAATACATTTTAGAAGTACATGCTGTATATAATATGATTTATAAATTTCCAACGAACAAATGACAAAAGTTAAAATATCATCTTGTGCAATTTCTACAATTAGGTCAACTGTTTAAAGAGTTTTGTTACACGGAAGCTGAGATTTTTTGAATGACAAAGAATCGATTTTAATTCTTATCGTATCTTTTGATTGAACTTTCACAAAAATTACAAATACATGTTCAAACACGTTCACACATTCATGTATTTTACAAAATAACATTAAAAAGTCTGAAGAAAAAAAAGATGACTGAATTTTAATTTCATACCTTTAAAATTGTTTTTATAAAAATCTATACGAAAATAAGATGTGTTTGTGAAACACTGATGCTCCCGTATGAAAAAAAAAATAGCGAAGATTAAACTTTTCTTAAATGCAACATCATAGGAAATACAGCTCTGAAATCATGCCAGGGTAAAATATTTTCATCAGTTTGGAAATCTTGGTATCCAATGAGGGGTCTTTTCACAAGGATTACATATATATATATAGTATGAGATCACTAGCCCTATAAGTTATGCCAGGTTAAAGTTTTTCCATAAGTACGAAAATCTCCCAGGTCAAGGTCAAAAGGTCAAGGTAATTAGTATCAAATGAAAGGTCTTGCCACAAAATACGTAAGCAAAGTATGGAAGTCCTAAACGTTCAGAAGTTATGGCCAAGGTTTAAAAAATTAATAAGTAGACCAAACCCCAAGGTCAAGGTCACAGGGTCAAAGTCTTGCTATCAAATGAAAGGCCTTGTCACGAGCATTAAATATGTAAAGTATGAAAGCACTCCCTCTAACCCTCTAAAAGTTCTTGTGAAGATTTTTTAAAGTAGGTAAAGCTCCAAGGTCAAGGTCAAAGGGTCAAAGTTATGGATATTAAATAAAGGGCCTTCTTACATGGATTACATATGTGAATTATGAAAGCCCTATCCCTTACTGTTCAAAGGTTATAACCAAGATTAAAGTTTTCAATAAGTAAGGAAATCTGCAAGGTCAAAGTCAAAAGGTCAATATTGTTGGTATCCAATGAAAAGTCTTGCAACAAGAATTACGTTAATAAAGTATGGAAGCCCAAGTCCTAAATGTTCAGAAGTTATGGCCAAGGTTAAAAAAATTAATAAAATAATAATTAATAAGTAGGTCAAACTCCAAGATCAAGGTCAAAGGGTCAAAGTTCGTGGTATCCTATAAACGTTCTTCTCACAAGTATTACATATGTGACGTATAAAAGCCCTATCCCTCACCGTTCAATAGTTATGGCCGAGGTTAAAGTTTTTTCTTAAGTACGAAAATCTCCAAGGTCAAAGTCAAAAGGTCAAGGTTGGTGGTATTCAATGAAAAGTCTTTCCACAAAAAATACATATGTGAAGTATAAATGCCCTGGCATCTACTGTTTATATGAAATGGCTAAAGTAAAAGTTTGAAAATTTTTTTTAAAAGTTGGTCAAAATCCAAGGTCAAGGTCAATAGGTCCAATTTGGTGGTACCCAAAGAAAGGTCTTGTCGAAAGGAATAAACATGTGAAATATGAAAGCCATAGCTCCACTCAAGCAAAAGTTATGAGCAAGGTTAAAGTTTTTGCGGACAAACAGACAAATAGAGAGAGAGAGAGACGGAGAGACAGTTGGTCAGCTAGACAGACGGACACGACAAAACTATATACCCCCGAAACTTTGTTTACGGCGGCATAAAAATCTAACATATCTAATGTTTTGCTGAGCGGAGTAAAAATGATGTTGGACTGCTGAGTTAGATGTTGGATCAGTCGATGAGATGTTAGACCGCTTACGTCACAGAATGGGCGAAGCTTAATATTTTCATTTTTGTTCTTTGGTGTCAAAAGTGACGGACCTGGGGTTAAATCACGGAAGAGAGTACAAAACATGTATGTCCCCCGAAAAATAAAATGAAAGGTATGACAAAACGACAGTTGGGATCTTGGGTCTGACAAAACGTATTTTGCCCTATAACTTAGTCAATAAATGTATTTCAAAAACCTATTATAAAAATATACCAATATCTGTTGTATATGATATTCTAGATTATATCAGAATTATCAATAAGACTGAACTATATTATTCTAGATTATACTCAGAATTATCAATAAGACCGAACTAAAATGTTGGACAAATGAAAATTCTTAAATAAATAAATAAATGTATTTAAAAAATATGACTGTCATCTATAAACACTGGAAGTCTCTTTGTCTTTAAGTTTAAGTTCTTATAGCTTCTACTATTCTTTTCAAAAGATATGTATATAGTATACATAAGAAGGATATGGGGATAACGAACAGTATTCAATCTCAAAGTCCATAAAACAATACAAAATAAGAGCAGAGGAAACACGGACCCCCGAAACATCAGAAGTGGGATCAGGTGCCATGGAGGAGTGAACATCCCCTGCTGACCGGTCACACCCGCCGTGTGCTTCTTGTCATGACCAGGAAATAACGGGAAAAATCAGTGTATAAATAATGGACCAACAATTGGTATGAAAAACGTTGTCAGCATTTGACTCAATGATAAATTGTAATTGCTGACAAGGTCATTGTATTGACCATAGAACTTACGAAATGATGACTTTAAACGAGACTGTTGATATTCTTGTTTCATCAACTTGCTTGTCAATAATTTACCTCAATCGTTTTAGAAATTGTTCATACATAGAGCATGCTCTTGTGTATCGAATCAACTGAGATATATATACTCCGTATGCAGGCGATGAAGGTATATTGCTGCATAAGTAAGGGAAATTGACGATAGAAAAGTTAAAATCATCACGTTTATCATATAGCTTGGTTGTTAGATAACCATTAGTGTCTTTTTCGAGTAAAATATCCAAGTATGAAACAGAAGTGTTGGACTCTGTGGTATTTAAAGTTAACCGCTGAAAGTGTAGTTATAGTTATTTTCAGTTTGATATTTCAACACACTTGAAAATCCAACCTGATTTCCATCTGTGATATTTAAAAACCCTAACCCTACAGTTGAAACGGAAGACCTTAATAACTAAAGCAAAGCTAGTTGCGTATCAACGAGTAGGGCTTCCGTCCTGTTTGACCGGAAGTACCTTTCCTTTAAAAAAAAAGAGAAATGACGTCCAAAAATGGTTTAAGTCCTCCACATCTATGTTAATTATTGCAAAGATAAGCTTTTTTTTTGCTACTTTCTGTCTGAACGGAAAAGACGACGACGGACTGAAAATTAAATTAATAGTGACAGATGTTACCCAAAAACTTGTTAAAAACGGCAAAAATACGCATTTTCTGAATACTTCCAGTTTGACCGGATTTGATGTCACCATACGTTTTTGAATAGATCGAGCTTGACATTTTGAAACAACTTTGCTTGTTTAATGTATTACAAATTCTCTATACTTTTTGAGATATTAAGGCAAATTTTTCGGCCCCTCTAGGCCCTTAATTTTAGGAGCCAGCCCCTCACGTTGATATTTTTTGAAAGAACGTGTCATCTTTACAACTTTTGTTCTATATGTCTTTTCAAAATATTAAGAAGTAAAAAGATATTGAAGAAAAAATGCTATAAAATTAGGTCAAACAGGACGGAAAACCTTTTGTTGCTTTTTTACGAGCTTTGCTCTAGTTATTCTTTTTTTTTCTTACCG